GCACAATGGAGTAACATAAAGCTGATAAAAAGAATAAGGAAAACCTGTTTGAATTGATGCAGAGGGATATCCAGGATGTAGTGAAAAATGCAAGATACAAAGGAATGTATATAGTATGTGCTACGTTTTGGGTAAGAAAAAGGGGAGAGATATATCTGTAAAAAGCCACACTGGAAAGGTAAACCAAAGATTGATAAAAATGAGGGGAAAGGAAAATACATTTGAGGGAATGGGTTTGAGGCAACAGGGAATATTGACTTTTGAAACACATAAATGCTTTACAACTTTTATAAAAATTAAGCAAAAAATCATAAAGTTTAAAACAAACAGAAACAAGTGAACCACACAAAGAAAATAATTATTTTAACTTATATTAGAAGACAATTCTGTACATCCTTAGTGGAATATCTTCTAAGGACAAAAAGAACCACCAAAAAAGTCAAATGCCATTCAGTAGTTTTAATAGCCATTGTTAATAGTAATATTGTATATTATTTTGAAACTACGTTATATATATTACAGGATAAAGCGAATCAGTAATTACTGATGTGATGTAATTAGGAACCAAGATCTTCAGTGTCTAAAAAGGAAGAAAAACGAAGCTAAATTAAAACAAATGCCAATTTTAACTAATGATTATGTGTCCTAGTCCCAGCCAATGAAAGAACCTGAAAGCAGTGATACCCAGTAGCAATGAGCATCCTTGGTGCACAGGCTGCGGTTTCTAAATAGTGTTATCCAATAAAAGGAAAAGGAGCTTCTTAGAGAAGTGACTGATTTCAGGTCTGGGTTAGGGAAAATACAAGGCAAGCTTGTTTTAAAAAATAATGAAGTGTTCAGAGACTAATAGAGTCATGCTGAAAGAAGAGAGCAGCCAGCTTGAAGGGGCGCTCATTGGCCAAATCCGGGACAATTTGAACATCAGAAAAAATGATCATACTCGACTTAAACACATGGAACACATAAAAATTCATAATTCCTAATAATAATCAAATAAAGATAAAACAATCAACAATGACAAAACTTTACTGTCACCACTGGGTGTTATATTTTAATTCCTAACACAGAAAATTGGTACTTAAAGAAAACATACGNTTTATATTTTTAACCCCAAACTTATCTGCTTAAACTTATACAGAGAGTGATTCTCTACATCACAGATCAAGATTGAGAGGATTTGTTCAAGCTCAGCTGTGTGGTGTTCTGGTGGCCTTTTCTCCCCCGTCAGAAGATGCCTTCTTGGAGGATGGAGTAACGGTTGACTTGAGCCCCTCCAATTGCCCCAAACAGAAACTTCCTTTTGACTCTCCTGCTACTGAACCTCCATGCTGTACATGGGCCTAGTGAATCCTTCCATCTTCTCACCCAGGCTCTTTACTTCTTTGCCCAGCAACAGCTACATTAACTCAGAGGATTTCTCTGGTTGGCTGAGTACAACAGGTGTCTCCCCCATCCTAGAATCTGTTTTCTTCCTCTTTACCTCTTCCTGTTCCTTTACCCCCAACACCGACCGAGATTTATTTGGTTAAAGCATCAGAGGGCAATGGTCCTCAGTGGAGGGATGGTCCTGGGACTCCACACCTTGATGACCCTCCTGAGCCCCCAGGAAGCTGGGGCCATCAAGGGTGAGTGCTATGGTGACTGGGTGAGGAGAGGAGATTTAAGGTGTTGGCTTATGTGAGAGACGGTACAGAGCATGAACTGTTCCTCTTCCTCTATGGTTTCTGGGCAACTTCCTTTACCAAGAGATCCTTAATCTCTCTGACCTCTCATGTCTGTTCTGGGCCTAGAATACAGATGCAGCTCAGTCCAGCTGTACCAGTGTCTTGCTCAGGCATTTTCAGGTTCAGGTGCCTCCCCAATTCCCTCTTCCTTTCTGAGACCCAACCCTCCATCCTCCTGCCTCCCAGCATCCTGATTTCTCTACCATTTCCCGGCTTGGAGTGTGCCCATTCAGGTCCAGTTCTCTTGCAGAATTTATTGCCATGTCACTAGTTACCAGTTCATCTGTCTTTATCCTGCTCTAGACGTAAGCTTCTTGTGTGTGGTTAATCTGTATTTCCTTGGGGCCTGGCATCATGCTGGGCACACAGTAGTCTCTTAACCACTTTTGAACAATTTCCTAGAATATTAAAGGAATTTTACCAATTAAAACCGAACCCCTAATTTCCAGGAAACTGAGCTTCAGTTATGGGAAGAGACATGTTCAATCATAATGCTCTGAGATGGAAGAGCTGGGACATGAGCCTTCAGTTTCTGACTCCTTTTCCAGTGTCCCCGGCAATACCTTGGGCCACCGTCTTCTATCCTTTTGGTCTCTGTGTCACCAATCTTACTCCTGCCAGCCATTGCCTGTTTTCCCTCACCCCTCCAGTCTGCATCTCTGTGCCCAAAGCTCCACCTTGTGCTCCTATCTTTAGTTACCTTTCTCCTCACCCCCACCCCTCCCCACTCACCTGCATCTCATACACAGGACCTGACAGCACAGTTAGAGCAGATGATCACAGCCAAGATCTAACCTTGGGAATCTCTTCTTCCCAGCCTGGTGTGCCAGACTGCACCTGTGAGTTTGCTGGCCGGCGTGTTAGGCATGTGCCTGTTTCTCTCTGTCCTCTCCCTTTCATTCCCCAGCAATCCTTCCACTCTCCAAGGACCAGCTCTGTTCAGAGCAAGACTGCCCCCTCAGAACACAGGATGTGGCACAGACTCAGGCTCAACACAGCACGTGCTGTGGATGAGACTGACATATTTTCTTCTCTCTCCCTGACTCTGAACTCACCCAACACAGCTGACCACATGGCGTCCTACGGACCAGCCTTCTACCAGTCCTATGATGCCTCGGGGCAGTTCACCCACGAGTTTGATGGGGAACAGCTGTTCTCTGTGGAGCTGAAGAAGAGGGAGGCTGTGTGGCGTCTGCCCGAGTTTGGCGACTTCACCCACTTTGACCCTCAGGGTGGGCTGGCCAGCATTGCAGTGATCAGAGCTCATCTGGACGTCCTGGTGGAACGCTCCAATCGCACCAGAGCCGTCAACAGTATGTTCCTGCCCTCCCCCTGCCTCCCTGCCCCTCAGTCAGGCAGGGCAGGCCCAGAAAGCCTCTTCCCCACCTCCCAGGCCTCTATCCGCTCTGGCACACTGCTCTCAGAATCTGCCACTGTGGTGCTCAGCCCTTTCTTCCTCAGGAGTCTCTAGATCTTTCCAGATGCCTTTAATACGCCATTTCTTCCGGAGAAAGGACCTCTCTCACCTGGACTCCCCTTCAGGGACCTGTCAGTTATGGGAGCCCCGGGTGCCCCCACTGTTCTCCTCAGTCTTTTCTCCCTCTGTCCCCCGACTCCTGCTCCAGAGGTTACCTGTCCACAGATGGCTAAGTAGGAGGAAACGTCCCTCAGTCCCAGTCCTCTAAGGCCCAGCTGCAGGGATGATCCTTTGGGATTCAGGGCCTCGTTTCTCCTAGTGCCTCCAAGGGTGACCGTACTCCCCAAGTCTCGAGTGGAGCTGGGCCAGCCCAATGTCCTCATCTGCATCGTGGACAACATCTTCCCCCCTGTGATCAATATCACCTGGCTGCGCAATGGTCAAACAGTCACCGAGGGGGCGTCCCAAACCAGCTTCTATTCCCAGCCTGACCATTTGTTCCGCAAGTTCCACTACCTGACCTTCGTGCCCTCAGCAGACGACTTCTACGACTGCCGGGTGGAACACTGGGGACTGGACGAGCCGCTCCTCAAGCACTGGGGTACGGAGCCCTCTCCCAGCCCACTCTTCTCGGTCCCGTGTTCCCTTTTCTCTAGAATCCCCTTTCTGTATCCCCTGACCTTCCTTTCTCTCCCAGAGCCCCAGGTGCCTACTCAGCTGCCAGATACTACAGAGACCCTGGTCTGTGCCGTGGGCCTGGCCACCGGCGTGGTGGGCTTCCTCGTGGGCACCGTCCTCATCATCACAGGCACATGCTTGTTCAGTGCCCCTAGGTACAGAGACCCCGGGGTCTAGGGGTGGAAAGTGATGACACTGAACAGGGTGAGGGTGGAGAATCTGAAATTCTGTGGGGAAGAATGGGGCAGGGAAGAGTGACATGGACAAGTGGTGGGCAGGGAATAGAAGAGCAAGGGCGAGGTGAGCGGGTGAGGTTTGGGGGAGGTGGCAGTTAGTAATGGGATCCCAAAAATTTTGGTCACATGGTTTTTGCTCCTTTAGGCAATGACCTTTCTGCGAGAAATGGATTGTGGGAGACGTCCTGCAGATTCCTTGGAAGTTTCTGGCAGCTCTTGCATGCTCAGTGCCACAGTCTACGAATTATGTCCCCGCTGTGCTGACTTTGAATGGGATCAACCTCTGTCCTATAGCTCTCCTGCTTTTTGATCCCCATACTCATGGCAGGACTTGTGGGGCACCACTAGCCACTCTTCCCACCCTCCACACACACACACACACACACACACACA